CTGGTCTCAGGACCATCCCTGGACCAAGGCGAGAGGCGGCTGGCAGCCCTTTGGGGCTTGTCGCATCCCCCTTTGCCTCGGCCAGGACGAGCGTGTCCTCTTCCCCGCAGGTGAAGTTTATCCATGACCAGTGCTCCCCCAAGCCCAAATACCGTGGCTTTTTCCACGGCGTCCGGGAGATCGTTCGGGAACAAGGTGAGACCCAGGGAAGCTGTGGCTTGTTGTACCCCCATGCTGCGGGGATGGGGCAGCAGGTGGGGGGTGGGTACAGGCTGGGACCAGCAGCCTGGGGAGGATTTTCTCTGCCTAGGTGAGGCTGGTGCTCCCCTCCAACACCCTCTCTTGCTGCAGGACTGAAGGGGACCTACCAGGGCTTAACTGCAACAGTTCTCAAGCAAGGATCGAACCAGGCCATCCGCTTCTTCGTCATGACCTCCCTCAAGAACTGGTACAAAGGTACGGTGCCTCTGTCCCCCCACGCCGCCCTGGCTGCACCGCTGGCTCCCCCAGCCCATCCCCGGGAGCTGGGCTTGGGCTCTCCATCAGCACACCCTCTGCTTCTCATGGCTCAGCCTCTTGTGATGGAGGAATACAAAAGCCAGGGCAGGGGTGCCCCAGCTCGTGGGGCTGTGAAGGGTCCTGGTGCTGGAGCATCACCTTCACCCCCACCCTGAGGCCCTCAGTGCTGCGTGGGCTCCGCGGGGCTGGTGCTGCTGGATGGTCGCCTCCTAGTGCCCCAGGCCCCAGCTCAGCATAGCGCAAGCCCTGACTGCGAGCAGCCAGACCTGGGACCTTCCTTGTGGGCTCCCTCGGGGATGCCGTGCTTCATCCCCACACCACCGCTCTGCTTTCAACCCCTCTTCCTTCTCAGGGGACGATCCCAACAAGGTCATCAACCCCTTCGTCACGGGGGTGTTTGGAGCCCTTGCTGGAGCTGCGAGCGTCTTCGGGAACACCCCGTTAGACGTGGTGAAGACCAGGATGCAGGTACGGCACTGGCGCGCGATACGGGACGGCTCTACCTGCGGTGGGCTGGGGTCATCCGCTGTTGGGGAGTCATTTTGTGCAGCCCCCGGGGCAGGCGCCTGATGCCAGCGAGGTTTAGGAGATGCCTGGGGACGCTGTCCCCTCGCAGCCAGGCCGTGGGTGTCCTGGGAGGTGTTCACATGGAAGTGGGGACATCCCTGCTGGCTTTGATGGCCTACAGCGGCGAAGGGGGATCGGTTCCTCCTGGTGCACCCCCAGCTCTTTCTCTCCCCCCGAAATTCCCCTGGATGTGCCTCTGGCTCTGACCTCACCCTGTTTTTCCCGTCCCGCAGGGGCTGGAAGCGCACAAGTACAAGAGCACCTGGGACTGCGCCTACCAGATCATGAAATACGAAGGGCCCCTGGCGTAAGCTGTGTGGTGGGGGGGAGC